GACAGAGCGAGACTCCGTCTCAAAAAAAAAAAAAAAAAAAAAAAAAAAAAGACAATATTTTCTGTCACTTCCCGCTGAGAAAAGCAAGGGCCTCATGGGGCTGGGGCACGGCACCTGCTGCCCTGGGTGGCCCCAGCGTTTATCGTGCCGTAGTGTGGGCCCAATCCTGACAGGCTTGGGACCCACTGCCCCAGGCCTGCCCCGGGGGGTGCGAGGGCACAGCCAAGGCAACCCTTGATTCTGGACCCTTAGGTACCACGTTGGAGGGGGCCAGATTCGGCAGGAGCAGGACGGGGACATCGAATTTGAAAGAAGGGAGTCACTCCAAAAGCTGGGAGGGGCATCAGCTGCAGGAGGACTGAGTGGGGCTGAGACACCCCCGTATCAGAGGGGGCATGTCAGAGCTAGGGGTCCAGGCTGTGCGAGTCAGAGTGGAACTTCGGGATTCAGGTGTGGGTCCCTCCACTGACCCTGCCTGAGCTCTCCCTGTATGGGACTTCGCTGCGGGTGTGCGCCGGGAACACAGACCCGGGCAGCGTCAGGCTCAGCGTCTGGAGAGGGAGGGGGAGACCCCAGCAGCGCAGGTCCTTCCCTGCTCTAGATTGTTGGAAAGTGCCAAGTGCCTTGGAGCAAAGCAAGTGGGAAAGTGGCCACGGGGGTCCGGGGGTTGCAGATGTAAGTGGGGTGACGTGATGGGCGTTTCTGCTGAGGCCACAGCCAGCACAGAACCCAGCTTTGCTGCCACAGAAAACTGAGGAAGAAGGTTCAGGTCTTGCTACGTCGTCCTCCCCACCTGGGCGAAGTCTCTTAAGCTCCGGCTCCTGGAGGGACACTTTTGTTCCTTGCAGCCTGAGCTGCCTGAGTTGATCTGTGCCCCTGCGGGTGCCTGGGGACAGGCGGGGAAGAAGAGACAGAGCTGCCAGAGCCAAGCAAATCGTGCCCCAAGCTGGGAAGGAGACTGGCTTATTTTGTCGGGGAGAGTTCTTTAAGGGCTGGAGACCTTCACCCTCAGCTTCCACAGAAGGCTGGGCCTGCCCAAGGCACAGCTCTGAGGTGGGTTCAACCCAGAGAGACACCCAGTGCTGGGCTCGCACAGACCTCCAACCCCTGCCTCGGTGACCCAGACATAACAGAGGCCCCACGAGGCGGGGCAGGTCACACCGCAGGAGTTACTGGGCAGAGTGTGGCTGGGTAGGGCCTGCCCTCCCTGGACGTGTTCAAAAAGGCCAGGATGGTAACCCCAGCCACACTGCCTGGGTTCAAATCCACCTCTGTCCTAGCTGTGTGACCGAGAACAAGCTCCTTAACCTCTCTGTGCCTTAGTTTCCTCATCTGTTAAATGATGATGAAAGAATGGACCTTCCTCATGGTGGGCAGAGGGAGTCGTGTGGACTAAATGAGCTGACATGCCCACAGGTTCTTATCTGAGCTCTCTGGGACAGTCATGTTCCAGAACCTTCTGCATTCTGGCCCCATTGTCGGACGCATAGTCTGTATGTGACGTGGCACTCATGGCAGGTCTGGGCTGCATCACATTGTCAAACATGTTGTTTTAGGCAGCAAAGCATATGGGTGTTCACAGTAAGAGAAGTAAAGTCTGTAAATAGCCACATGACCCTCCTCCAAGCCAGGGTTGTCCCAGATGAGTTCAGGACAGGTTGGCGTTTGCCTCTCCCCCTGAGGAAAATGGCTGACAAGGAATCGTGAGCCAGGACAGCGAGCCCCAAGATGGGCCTGGCCTGCCAGCACCCTGGCAGCCTAGGCCTTGGCTGGTGCTTTTCTGTGGCTTTCTGGTTGTCTAGGCTGAGAACAGCCACAAGAGGGAGCACCTGAGACTCCAGGAAAAGCCAGGGCAGCCGCGGTACCCACTGCTTGATCTGCAGGGCCCGAGGCAAAATGCAGACACAGCATCCCTTGTTTAGAATTTATGAAGGACTTTAAGATGGCGACGCCAGATCATTAAAGCAAGTGTAGGGCCTGTCTCAACGCAACTGCACGAATCACACAACATGAAGATGGACCCCGCGGGGGGACACCCTTGTCTTGAGCTGGTTTCCCTTGGCCAGTAGCCCAGGCTCCGTCCCTGCCCTGCACCCCCCTGACCCCAGCCCTAGCCTTGGGACCTGCCCGGGGGCTCCAGCTGGGTTCAGAGCTCAGCTCCTTCTCCATGGGGCAGGACCCTGAGTTGAATGGGTGGCAAGATCATGTTTGGGACACAGTTTTTACCAGCTCAGTGAAAAAGGGCTCGGGCAGATTTAATTCACTTTTTGGAAACTAAAGCAGTGCCAGAGGCATTTATCTTAGGCCTTAGGCCAGCTGGCCTTGTTGGGGACCCACACAAGACTTTCAAGGAGGGCCCAGAGTGTTGAGGCTTCTCAAAAGGGTCAGAGGAACTAATAGAGGAGGATGAGAGCTGAGGAGGGTGAGAGCTGAGGAGGCCTGCAGGACCCCGATGTTTAAGGGGACAGGTGGAGGGAGAGATGGGGAGCCGGGAGGGGTGAGGCAGAAGCCAGAAGTTTTGGGGGTGAGCCCATGCCAACCAGGACTTCAGCAGAAATGGGGTGGGAGGGGGTGAGGGGATGACTGCTGAGTTGTAGCCATTGGAGTGGCCACAGGGAAACCATAGGACATTGGTTAGAGGTGTGGACAGGGGAAAAGAGAAAGCCGATCAGGACATGGTAGAGGCTGGGAGCAGAGGACCTTCTGGGAGCCCTGGGGAGAGCTGGAGGAGACTCGGGAAGGGCAGCCCCCGGAGAAGGGACTATCCATCCCATTGCGAGGACCGGGACCGCGGGCCCCATGGTGAGATGGCCCTGCACACCCACCACAACCAAACACGATGGCGAGCGAGGCCGGGAAATGGGGCCTTCCCGTGCTGCTGGTGGAAACAGAAACTGGGGCAGCCACCTGGCAGCTCCCGAAACGATTCAATGTAGAGTTCACCCTGTGACCCAGCACGCAGGTTCATGGCGGCACTATTCACAACAGCCGAAAACTGGAAACAATCCAGTGCCTGTCACCTGATGAGTGAATAAATTGTGGTCTACCCCAACAATGGGACTTGCAGCTTTGAAAGGAGTGAGGCAGTTATCTGGGCGTGGTGGCTGTACCTGTAGTCCCAGCTACTCGGGAGGCACAGGAGAATCACTTGAATGCAGGAGGTGGAAGTTGTAGTGAGCCGAGATCGCGCTTCTGCACTCCAGCCTGAGCAACAGAGTGAGACACTGTATCAAGAAAAAAAAAAAAAGAAAAAGAAAAAAGAAAAAGAAAAGATGTGAGGCTGTGACATGTGCTACAGCGTGGATGGACCTTGAAAACACGGTGCCAAGTGAGGAAGCCAGACTCAGCAGGCCATGGAGTGTGTGATTACAGTCACATGAAAAATAGAGAATGGGCAAATTCATAGAGACAGGAGATTAGTTGGTGGGGGGACAAGGGGCAGGGAAGATTGTGGGGAGATGGCTAAAGGGTGTTGGGTTTTTTTTTGTGGGGGATTATGCAAAAATTGTGCTGGTTGCTTAGCTCTGTAAATATACTAAAAGCCATTAAATTGCACACTTTAAGTGGATGAATGGTATGGTATATGAATTATACTTTAAGTGGGTGAATGGTATGATATATGAATTATATCTCAAAGTGGTTGCCCAAAAAAGAGCTGGCCGGGTGTGGTGGCTCACGCCTGTAATCTCAGCACTTTGGGAGGCTGAGGTGGGTGGATCACCTGAGGTCAAGTGTTCAAGACCAGCCTGGCCAACACGGTGAAACTTTGTCTCTACTAAAAGTACAAAAATTAGCTGGGCATGGTGGTGGGTGCCTGTAGTCCCAGCTACTTGGGAGGCTGATGCAGGAGAATCACTTGAACCCAGGAGGCAGAGGTTGCAATGAGCCGAGACTGTGCCATTGCACTCC